ACTTGCGTTCCCAGGGGGAAAACAGAGCTTCAAGCTCCAGGCATTTATATTTCAGTAGGGGAGTCTTAGCAGTGTGTCGGCGGGAAATCGAAACCCAGATCTCCCGCGTGACTGACATGCATTTTACTGTTAGGAGCATAAATTCAATCAAAGTAGTGTAGAAATGATTTTCCACTGGTGATTATATATTGCTCAAGTTTAAGCATTCAGTATGGAAAATAACATCCCGATTTTCAACTCCAATCTGAAGTCAGTGCTACTCACCATACGGATCAGAGACTTGGCGCGGCATCGTGAAGAGCACTTCAAACAAACTACAGACCTTCATCAACAGCAGTCTTCACTCAATACTCAAGATCACATAGCCGACCAGAAAAGATCAGCAACAGAGATCTCTGGCAATGAGCGAACCAACACAGCAGGAACCGATTGTGAAACAAATATGCAGGAATAAATGGAGGTGAGTTGGCCATACTCTAAGGAAACCATCAAGTGACATCACTAGACAAGCCATCGCTCGAGTGGAACCCGAAAGGGAAGCGGCGAGTTGGTCGTCAGTGCAAGGGTGACTTGGAGGATGTCATGTGAAGAGGAGATGAAAGCGTATGGGCAGATGTGGAGCCAGGTGAAAACGTCGGTGGAGAACCGAACACAATGGAGACGTGCAGCTGAAGCTGATAAGTTTAAGCCTGTCAGTGTGAAAGTCTCACATGTCTGAAGATTTACTGTCACAGTAATATGCCATGTTACACTGATACTTTCCTCGTTGGAGAAACCCACCCAGGTAATCATGTCACAGTCATACAGACGATGACAGCCAGAAAAGACCATACTCTATTCAGCTCGGAAATGCATTGGAAAATATGTAATTAAATGAAATAAAGTAAAGAACAGGATAGTTATTTACAAAGGTCTCATAAATCTAATCATATAAAATCAAAAGACATTTGATTTGAAAATTATTGAACAATTCGTATTCCCTTGAAAGCTGCTCAGCAGTATTCCAATCAAGCAGATGTTCTTGTGGAAGTATTTTCAATAGAAAATACTGACTCATAACTCCAGTCATTAAAGCATTAAAAACTTACTGTCCAAGGATGATTTCGCTTTCCGTGTACTTTCATGCGTTTAATTTTAAAAGGGTTTTTTTTGGGGGAAAAAAGGATGTAAAATAGCCACTAATGAATATTACCACCCACACCTACACCACGATCATTACAAAGAATCAGAGAGAGACAATAGGTGCAAAGAGGAGAAATTTATCTTCTACTAACCTCGTTTCTATGCTCACATTTAAGGATTATTGAGTATTTTCAAGTATTGGTTTTGTAGGGGATTTTGTTTGATTGGTTGGAGGATTTCATCATGAGCTGGCATCAATTAGAGAACCATTGGAAAACCAACTGGGAGTAGTGGACAGTTGTTTCATCTTAGTTTGCGACTCTTCAGTGGTACGCACCCACTATAGGGGTTCGAACCCACCACCTTCTGGTTACAAGGCGAGCTAGCCTGTAGACCATTAAGCTACTGGGACCCGACCCGATCTAATGGCCAGCGCATGAATTCTAACTTCTGCGATCACTTCTCTGTCCAGTACTCTGCGGTTTTCCAATGGTTCTCTAACTGATGTCAGCTCATGATGAAATCCTCCAACTGATTATTGAATAATTTAAACACACACACATGCATACATACACACACATACACAGGAGAAAAGGAAGGTCACCATTGACATCCACTGGAGCCATTGTGATGGAATAAGTCTGTACATAGTCGCTACCGCAAAAAATGAAAATTATACTTACGCATATAGAATATGGAAATCAGAATGTGTATATACATCTTCCTCGGTGTGTTTGTGTGTGTGTGAGAGAGAGATAGAGTGTATGTGAGTGAGCGTGTGTATGGTCAAGTGTTTTTGAATAGAAAGTTAACAGGAATTCACCTCATCTTGTTTATAAGGCTTTCAAAACCGCAATATTATGTATGATATTTTTATTTAGGCAGTTTTTGTATATTTTTCCATATATTCATCATCAATTAGTTAAATTAATTTTTATTTGATTAAAGGAAGAAAGATACACTAAAGTCGGTGAAAAATGGTAAACCTTGACAACTGATATTTTTCATACATCTTTATATTATTATTATTCCTAAAAAATGGATAAGACTGGGTGGATGGATGGGTGGCTTGGTCAGTATAGCGAGAAATAACAAGTAGGCGAAGTTAGGGCCTTACACTACTGTTTAGTAGCAATCATAATGGACTAATTTGATGCTTTATTTCAATAGAATTCATTAGTATTTCTGTTTTGTATTCACAAGTCAGTATTTAAAAATCATCCACTTCTCGCCTTTCTTAACTTTCAGCCTACCACCTTAGTGCATGTTTTGGATTTTGGAGTTTTGCAGAATTTATTTATATCTATATCACTGTCTTAAAACGCTAATACTTTCACTGGGAATAAAGGGTAGGGGGAGGTGGGCAATTGGCGGTGTGGTCCTGTCTTGACGGAATAAAGTACTATTACTAGTAGTAGTGTTAATTTTTGACACGTGGTACACCAGGCGTGTAGGAAGCACGAGGAACTGGGGCTAGTAACAAACTTTAAACCGAGATATTTTCACGTCTAAGCAAAAAAAAATGTGGAATTCTTTTCTTTCTTTCTTTTTCAAATATGTCAGTTTTCAAAGTGCCATAATATACAATCCTCGGTACTTCTGTTTGGTTTTCTCCCCAGACTATATTTTGTTTTAGCGAAATGTTAAAAAAAACACAACAAAATGAACACTGACAACAACCGCACAGTCTAGTTGCTTAGGCACTTGTTAGTGAGTGAGTGAGTGGTGGTTAATTCTAGGCAGGTAGATATAAGTAACACATTTATCAAATCAATATAATGATAATACAATATAAGTGCATACCTGTTAAAAATTTCTTTATGATTATTGTAGAAAGAAAGAAAGAACATTTTTCATATGGATACACGCTATCACCGAGTCTGAGGGGATTGAAACCTTCAAAAATAACAATTATTATTATTACTATTAGTGTTAATAATAATATCACTATTAAAACGAATAGTGATCATGAAAGCATAATATATATATTAATGTTATTTTGATCATTTTTGACATTACACTTTTCAATTTGTCTGCATTTTCTCTCACTTCCCCCACCTCCCCCATCATTTGTCTTATCCACATGATTATTATTATTATTATTGTTATTTTAATCGAGAAAAGGGTTTGATACTTTTGCCTGTGTGTTATGTGTGTGTTTGTGCACTTAACCTGGGTCCTATAGTTCACTGTATAAATAAATAAATAGTGTGTGATTGTTCACAGTGCATAAATATTGTTGTGCTGTAGTAGTGAAAAGGTATAGGCATACTAACACACACATGCACACACACACTTGCACAGCTATACACTTGTGCACACATTCTAAAAATGTAAGATGATGAAAAAGTTTACATTGAAAAAATGTGTTTTACGCATATTTCTCAGCGCTCTTTAACCTTCACAGGTTTTAATCTAATCTGCTGGCTTGAAAGCTTTTCAATGTTGTTCTTGTTGGTAGTGGTGGTGTTATTGTGTTTCAGTTTTGTTGTTTGTTGTAAAACAAAAATCTTAAAAATTACCCTCAGTAGACAGAAAGAGGTGATTAATGTTATTTTCCTTTGATTGTTCAGATTAGACTGATATCAGATGCACTCCACTCCACCTATCTTAAATATTTATACGTATATAAAAGCACACAGATTCTGAAACCTCACAAAATTCACGTTTTTTGTGTTCAATTCAAACAGATTCCCATTCTCCCACAGATAGACGTATGCATGTATGTTTGTGTATATGTTGGGGGCATAAAATGATCTGCACTAGTTGCTGAAGTTTTTGTTTGTTTGCCCACTGTCATCATCAATGTATGTACATCGATACACCCGAAAGCTGGTACTCATATTAATGAGAGTAAATATAATGAGTGCACTCATTATGGTTGATTAATTGGGGGAAGAAAAGCTATCAACCCCAGTGGTCCCGTGTTTGCTTTCGTTGTATTATAGAGATTTACAACCAGCGAATTCCCATGATAAGACGAAAATCATACGCACAAAAAAAAACGACATATGTCTGAAGAATGTACTACTATCAGCTAAGAAATAGGGTTCAGTGGTATTTGTACTCACCGACCATGCACATGGGTTCGATCCCTGGCCACCGACGCACTCCTTTACCTCGCTAAGTCAGAACTAAAAGCTGGTGAAGAGGAAAGGTTGGGCATGAGGCTAGCAACCCCATCCTGTAAAAATAATCACCACTGCTACAGAAACTTCAAGCCTCTATCTTGAAGCCCTATGTTCCACTGGGGAACGTGAAGGAAAAAAAGAAAAGAGACTGGTGTATTTTGATCCAATGCCTGGCGTAAGTTAGACAAGCGACTGAAATACCATTCCAAGCGATAGTTTGCAGAGGGTTAGTCTGTTTCACGTTTGACCGCAGATAAGATGGAGAACTGCTGAAAACCAGTACTGGAGTACTACTGGACAACTGTTTCCTCCTAGTTTCGGACTCATTGTCATGGTTCGAACCCAGGAACTTCCGGTGACAAGTAAAGCTCGTAGACCACTCAGTCACTCACTGGACCCGACTCAATGGTTAGTTCATGATTTTAGCGCAGCCATCATCGATGAGTAGTACTTGTCCTCACTCGCGACGGGATGGATCTCACTGGTCATGATTTCTCACTAGACCTCTGGGCGACTTCGTTCGTCCTGTAGGCAGTCACCAGTGGGCATCACACTAATCTTCAAGAGTCATTTAGTATTGGTCGTAGTAGTAGTAGTAGATTGCATCAAATGAATTTTAACCAGGTGCCAATAAATTTAATTGTATCGTTAGTTATTAGTATTCATTGACGTTAATTTTAATGGATACTTTTTTTAAATTGTTTACTTTAAAAATGACTACAATCCCACTTCTTTTTATACAAGTAGGTAGTTTTTACAAACTGTTCAAACTGAAGATGTTTTTCATCAGTCAAGTTTGGAAATATGCCTACATATTATATCTATATATATCTATGACATTATTCAGCGATGACAGTGATGAGTAAAATTATATTGTTGATTAATTTGGTCCAAGTTGGAGATATTTTATTTATTTTGCTTTGGAATCTACATACTGGTCAGTCACTGGGAGTATATATATAATTGTTTCCCTGCAAGTCGCAACCAACTTGTAGCAAAATTGGTGTGACATACCGTACGTAAGAGGTGAATTTTTATTTACTGCTAAGGTATGTGTAATATGCAATACAGTTGTCATTAGCTTTGATAACATCTTTAACTGTTATTGGTTGGTTGGCTGATGTGTTCCTACCGGACACTAATTTGACTTGTGAGTTTCACGTGAACACATTTTTTTTATAGACTGCTGTCAAGTATGTAAACTGTTTTGATATTAGCATTTATCGTATTAGGTCAGTTGTAAGTGTAGATGCAGTTGATTGGCTTCATACTTATCATACTAGTTATTGTAGAAGCGTTGGTAAAAGTAGTAATATAAGTAGTAGTAGTAGTGGTTTTAGTGAAAGATTTATTATTGTTACTATTATTATTATTATCATTCTTAATAATTACTGTTGTAGAACAAGACATGTAAGCGAACAACACTGTTGTTTTCAATTAGATCTTCTTCAGGCTTTACTCTAATTTATGTGTTCAAAATCTAACCAGTGACGGTGAGTGTGTGGATCAAATAATAATTATAAGTGTTAAACGTTTTGAACGTTAGTGTAATAGACAGCTCAACAAAACGTATTAATGAGCATCTTCCTTAATGGTTTGAAAAAGGGCAAATGCAATCTATAAGAAGTCCTATTTTGTCTCATTTGACTGACAGCAGTCCCCAAGTGGACAGAAGAAGCGCCTTCAAAGTTGTCTATCTCACATTCCATCGAGCCTTTCGAACGGAATTCGAACCCGCCTTTTCCACATAGCCGAAGAGGCTATGGGAATTAATTCGAGAGAACAATCCTAGTCTTTGCATACAACATGAGAAGTTTGTTCTACCTTTGTCCCTCCCTTGGCCTAGGTAAATTGTATTCAAAACTCTCCCACCCTTTCTTATTTTACCTTTTGTACTACGTAATTTTTAAGATTTGACCTAATTTAATTATTGAATTGTCTACATATACAAACGTATTACTACCGTCGTTATTCTTATCGCCACCTGCAAAAACCTTATCATAATTATTATTATCATTATTACTAACATTTAAAACATTTAACACATTATTTCACCCACAAACTCACCATCATTGGTTAAATTGCTTTATGTATAAATCTATGTAAGGCCTGAAGAAGATCTAATTGAAAACAATAATATTGTTCGCTTATATGTCTTGTTCTAATTACTGTAGTATTAGAAGTGGTATAGCTGAGTGAATAAGAAGCCTTTCACTGTGAATTCATGTATATCAACTACTTAGTTAATATTTCTCATCAGTTCTTTGACACAGCACATAAAACCTGCAGGTTTGATCATGAACTGGCATCAGTTAGAGTAGTATTTTGAAAAATAGGGAGTACTGAACAGCTGCTTCGTCCCTCTAGTTTGCGACTCTTCAGTATCACACACCCATTGGAGTTTAAACCCTGGACCTCTCAGTTACAGGGCGAGAATGGATATCCAGAGAAGTTCATTAAAGCCAACATAGGTTACAATAGTCGTAAATCTAAGGAAGGTAGAAACCATATCACTGGCCGATATAAACGTTTTGCCAAGATGAAAACTATCGGCTAATGCAGATCAACTTTCTACGTCTACATATATAATTAATATTTACGCAGTAAGAAGGAGACACGGTCAGTTAGCTAGCTAGTTAGTTAGTTACATTATATCTTAGAAATAATAAATGAAACAAGGAGAAATAATGATTTACAACTGAAAACTTCAAACGAATGAAAGATTAAATTGGTTTACAATTCAATTAGGCGATAAGTTGTTTTCCTCTGTGTTACTGCTTTTATCATTTACGCATACTCCCCTCTTGGTGCATACGTGAATGCATGCATGCATGCATACATGTGTGTAAGTGTGTGTGTGGATGTAGGTCTGAGTATGCCTTTATCCCTATCCCTTTATATTGCCTTACGCGAGTACATTATGACTTTTTTGTTGTTGTTGAAAATAAACTTCTTTCATCAAAAAGAACGTCATCTTTAATTTCATACTTCTTACTTGAATTTAGATTTGCTTCCTTTCCGCGTAATCCTCCTGCTCTCCACCCGCTCTCTTTCTCCTGCCCCTCGCCGCTTAGCCACCTTGCTTCCCTATTTCTACTTAAATACACTTAAATACAATTTTTTCAATTTTATAAGAAGAAAGAATACGTATGAAAAACTGATTCTTATTTTCCTCCTCTGTTCATTACAACAGTATTAAAAAATGTTACATCCTCGTGTGAGTGTGTTTGTGTGTGAGTATGTGAACATAGATTACTTAGAGGATGAACTCCTCATTCTTTTTTACGGTACACACATATGCTCAGTTTTCCTCTGCGCTACAAAAAGTTCTCCTTAAAAAACCAAAATATTACGGCTTACCTTGTAAGTATGCGTATGGTGTGTGTTAGTGCGTGTATATGAATGAGCGCTTGTGAAGCGTCCGCCCACCTCTAGAATACACTTTTTCACTGACTGTGTCGTGAGATATACGCAAAAATCAAGTCAAAATTATGTTGCTATTTTCTTCTTCTTTTTATTTTATTTTATTTTATTATTTTTCTGTGGCTTTTCTTTCGCCCTATAAGGAATTTAAAAATCTAATTCAATTTTTAAGAGCGTTCGTTATATATAGGGTAAAGACACAAGCGCAGTGTGTGTTAGGCTTATTCATTGTGTTCAACAACTGATCCTACTCACATATACACACACACTTACTTTCGTGAAAATTGTTTTTTGTTGTAGTTTCTGCTGTTGTTGTTGGTTTCTTTTTTAAATGACGAGTTAGTTGTAAGGGACACGAAATATCCTTCTAGACAGGCAGACATTGACCAACAACACTTTGATCACCGGGTAGAAATAGTCTCCAAAACTAGCATTTGAAGAGGTATTTATGCTTCTGGGAGCGTGCGTGCGTGCGTGCATCGGTATGTTTCGTTCGCCAGAAGGGAGGATAAAACTTTATTTTTTTTGAATGAATTTTTATGAACCATATTAAATTTTCATTTTTCTTCTCTTCGGATAATAGTTGGTAATATTCATGAATAGACTATTATTATTATTGTTATTATTATTATTGCATTATTATATATTAAATTGCCCGAGTACTTGAATCAAATTTTCCCCACAGTCTTACGCATTCATGCACACGCACATACACAGCCACACTGACATTACAGATAAGGCAAAACATAAATTTATGCTTCAGAAAAACACTCGCCTGACCTTGTTACACTGATTTTTTCTGATGTTGTAATTTGAAATATATAATGTATTACATCTCAATCAAAAAGAGAGAGGGAAGTATTTAAGTAGGTTCATTTGTGTGTTTGTGTATGCGTGTGTAGGGAGGAGGGAGTGTATGAAATAAAAATGAGATTTTAATAAATTTTTCAAGCATTAAATTCAATTTTCATCCAAGTGGACAAATCATTGAGTAGGTAGGTAGGTAGATAGGTAGATGGGTAGGTGGGTTGGTAGGTGAGTAAGTGTAGGTAGGTAGGTAGGCGCATATTATGCTGAATGCATTTAGCCAATTAGTCGATTGTTCAATTCAATCTGTGCATGTGTATCCAGTTCTTCAGGTTTCTTTTACTTTAACAGTCTACCATTCGTTGAATATAAAGCGATAACAATAATAACAACAACAACATAATAAAATCATAATCACAGCAATCATAATAACAACAATAGCGGTTTAATTTGTTAAGATTTTATTTTGCCCCGAAGCATTTGATTATTATTATTATTATTATTCATTTTTGTTGTTTTTCTGAGTTTATTTTTCAACTGTGCATTCTATTTCATTGCAATATCAGTTTAAAAGAATAGTTTGAATAAGCTAACAGAGTTTTTTAAAGACTCGCTACCACAAACTTGCATAAAATAAGTGGACCTGAGGTCCATAATGTCCTGTGGTAGCCAGTTCTGATCACTTTGTATGTATTCGTGTGTGTGTGTGAAAAGTAACCGGAATGATGATCTCAACACATAAAGCTCTTCTGTGCAATATTGGGGGGAGGACAGACAGTCTGAAGATTTCCTTAGGATTGCGCAAACTCCTCCCTCTGATATCTGCGGCCAAACAGAACAACAAGCGAATAAACACTGGGAGAAAGGAAACTACATCCAGGCTTTCACTGTTGACTACTTTTCAACATCCCACTTAGATATAGGATTATATGCATCTCTAGTTACTATATAGCGCTCGACTTCACCTCGACCGCAGAACAGAAAAGACCTTGACAATCATCTTTTTTGGGGGATAGTGTTGTGATTAGAAGACAAAGATTATCTGAATAACGTGATGTATTCGCTGGAATACATTTCGAACAAAAATCTGATCCCTGACACATTTACTAGTCACTTCAGTCTATATGAATAATGAAGGCCAATTAAAATACGCGGAGTGACCAAAAGGATTTAGGATAATCAACACTACGTTTGGTTATCCAAACATATGCGGATTACAAAGATAGGTTAAGAGTAATAATAAATTGTTTTGGCACACACAGGGTGGGTGGGTGACTTAAGTTTATGAATAGCTACCGTCTCAGTAAACACCCTTGACCCTTTTTATAAATAACCTCAAAAGCTGTTTTGACGTTAGTCTTGTTGTTTGCAAGATAGGTTATTTGGAACTTCCGCCTACAACTCACCGATATTGGTACATATTTCTGAATTCGGTACATACACACTGTTCAAAGTAGCTTTCTACTCACCACTTTCTCTCTGTCATTTTTTTTCAAAAAAAATTACAAAATAAGAAGTTACTGAACAACACCAAAATAACAAAAAAAAAACGCGCATTTTAAATACTCTTGTACAGTTATAATAGATTTTTTTCCTCAAGAGAAAAACTAAAGGGTTTTCACTTGGTTTTACATACTACTTAAGTGTTTCTTACAGTATCGTTTAAAAACCATTGGCAAAAAGACGAATAAAGTACGCCTGCATTTTGGCATGTAACCAAACTCTAATTCATTTCAACATTTTAGTCAAATTATCCGAAAAGAGCCGTGGAATAGAATTTCATCT